GAAAAAACAGGATGATGCACTCAAACGAAATAAATAAAACAAAGCATCTGTGATGATTGGAATAAAAAAATTGGGATAAAAGAGTGTTCAAGAGCATTTCATTTAATTATCAGAACTTGATAGAGAGCGAGATGTCCGTACCTTCACCCTTATGAGGAGTCTTTCCTTTCACTTGGCGTCGGAAGGTGAAACCCTGCTTCAGCACATTCTTCCTATTCGTACGAATAAGCTGCTCGATCGATGGTTTAAGCAAATTGCGCAACTCACTGAAAACTGATGTCTGTATCGTGAAAACTATGAAAGAACCAGCAAGGCTTCAGAAGGGCGAGAACGTCTAGTTGGGAGCGGCCTTCTAAAAGAGATGGCACAGAAAACCCCTTTCCGAGACCTCTTTTGGAAGCAACTCCTACGCGATCCATCTTGCCTTTGCACTCACGCATGGTAATATCTCCAGTTAGTTGACTACTGGGAATGGAAGGAATGAAAGTCGCGCAGCATTGCATGACACCAGGGTCACTTCACTAAAGCACAGAACGGATCAAAGCTCACCCAACAACTTCGCTGCTTAATTGGTTGTTCTCCTTCTCGATCAGTTCTCTTTTCCAAAGCTCCTTCATTTTCCAGTAAGGTAATGCTGACAATAAGTCCTCGAGCATAGACAGAGTCACTGGGCGATTATTCGCCGCACGACGTAACTGCTCTTGAACAACATTCGCGACCTAGAGGAAGTACGTTCATGACAACAAAAAAGAATTTTAAAAGAAAGGAAACTTGGAAGAATGAAAACAAATTTTATGGTGAAATAGGCAGAACGAACTAAAGAGTAGGACCTCTGAAATGTGAGGAAGGGATTTATCTTCCTACCTTATCGTGTTCATCATGAGAGGCATGCATTTCTCGCCATGTCCGATGAAAGAGTTGTACAGTAACGGCAAACAATGCGTCAAACGACGAATCACAACGGAACAGCAACTCAATCAGCTTCTCCACGCAATCCTCTCCTGAATCTGAGACAAGATCAAACCTTC